GGAGGAGGAGGAGGAGGAGGAGGAAAAAGGAACTCACCAAGGAGTGGTTGCATGGAAGCAAAATCCATTTCGCCCCACGAGGTGGTTCCCATGAGATGATCGACGGTCCCAGTACAAGGGTTGATCTCCGCACTAGTCTCCAGATCGACGGTCATTCCGCCCCCTGGCATATGCACGTCATCTGGTCCACCAGACGCCATAGCTGACCCACACGAAGCCCCTCCTCCTACATGTTGCCCTACAACGTGAACCCCAGGCCCTGGCGCCCAGTCCTCTGTCTGCTCAGCCCAACTAGAGGGCAGATTGCCTACCGCCATGATGGATGTTCCTGACCACGTTTGAGAAGATACGGAGGAAGACAAAGCAGCTGTCGCAAGACCACCTCCACCTCCTCCTCCTCCTCCTCCTCCTCCTCCTCCTCCTCGGCCGAAATTGGAAGTTTCGGCTTTCAAGTCAGGAGGCTGAGAGCACAGAAGCCGAGACTGACCACACAGAGTGTGTGTTTGACTTTGACTTGGACCTTGTGGCTGAGACCCGAGGGATTGGAATTCGTCACAGCTGCCGTTAAGTGCGGAGGGCGAAAAACTCGATGCAGATGGTTCAGCCTTCACGGGGCCTGAGGACCTGAGGGGAGGAGGAGCAGGGGAGCCAACGCTTGCCACCTCCAGCTGGCTGGTGTTCGACGTGGTAGTCGAGGCGGGATCGGGACTGTTAGATGCTTCCGTTAAGTCTTGATTGGCAGAATTGAGATCCTCTGCAAGCCGACGGGTGTAAACCACGTCAGCATTCCTGTGGACGTCAACATTTGGTAGCCACGTCAGCATTCCCATCTTCGAATCCATGCAACTCATGTTCTCCGCAACGTCTTCAATCATATGGGAGACAGTGTGGTACAGACAACAAACACACAAGACAGACAGACAACCGATGAAAAGAGAGAGAGAGAGAGAGAGAGAGAGAGAGAGAGAGAGAGAGAGAGAGAGAGAGAGAGAGAGAGAGAGAGAGAGAGAGCGAGAGAGCGAGCGAGAGAGAGAGAGAGAGAGAGGGAGTAAAACAAGCTATCGCCATTTTCATTGGTATGAGCAGGACGAAGCATGCCAGTGTTCATTCCTGTTGACGCCAACGTTACAAAAGGTGCAAGAACATTTCTTCCTCCACCTTATCACATCTTCCGCAATCCATCATCATGACGATCATCATCATCATCATCATCATCATCATCATCATCATCATCGGCATCAACAAATCATCATCATCCGCATCATCTAATCATCATCATCATCATCATCATCATCATCATCATCATATCAAATACCAAGGCCATTCATTCCCGTCACGATTTTTATTCGAATCAGTTCCAATCCGCAAAACGCAATTTCATCTTTGCAAGGGAAAAAAAAAAAAAA